GCCTGTTCCTGCCGAGGGGCGACCGCTGTTAAGAAAAAAACTTTATTCTACATTTTTTTGCGATGTTGCTTTCACCAAGGCATTTTAAAATTACATTGAATTAATATTTATGTGAATTAATTTGTATACACGTAATACATACGTGTACATATGTATGTACATATGTATATGTATGGGCAAATCTAAAAAACTGGTAACTTTTGTGTTCGTTTGCTTTATGTTTATTAATGTTTTATAAAAGTGTAGTTAATTACATGATAAAAATATAGTAAGGTAGAACCGCTGAGAGTCGCTTTTAAAATTCTTGACGTTTCCAAACAATTTAATTTTTAAATTTACTCACAAACTCACACACACATTTTCATTTTCAATCTCAAGCAACAACAATTTCGAACAATTTCAATTTTTTATTTTTACTTTTATATGATTTTAAAATGTTGGCAAACTTCAAAAAAAAATCATGGCCGACAAATTGAGAGAACGGTTATACCTTGCTATGTTTTTATCATGGTTAATTATATAATATCTAGCACTATATAAATCCACATTTCAAACTTTGAAGAGAAATTAAAAAAAAATCAAAACAACAAACGTTGTATTCAAATTTTTTAGAAAAATTCCAAGTATGCAGTTTTGTATGTAGCCATGGTGAAATAAAAATAAGGTGTTGTTACTTAGGGGGTGGTTGTTATAATTTTGGCAATTTCGGCATACCAGCGTTACAATAATGCCTACTCTATTTATTCCAATTTCATTTCTGGGCAAAATGGAACAAAAAATGGAGCAGACAATTTTGTGAAAAAAGTATGCGCAGGTACCACTGTTTCTTTGTTTCCTTTTACTTTGACCTTTCGTTTCAAATTCATTGGAAAATTTGAGCGATAATTTCGAATAATTATGATTTTGTAAGTAAATTTTTGGTGAAATATATACTATATATGTATATATATCCAACTTATTATTGGAGCAGTGCCTCGGCTACTATAATGCACTTTGGTCTAACAATTTAAGCGCATAATTATTTTATAATATAACTGATAGAATTCAGAAATGTAATTTTAAAATGGTAACGAAAGTAAAGGTCGTAATAAAATTCCTTTTAGAGTTCAGACATTTAAAAACTAAGTACGCATACACATCATGGTGTAATAATAACAAGGTGTTGTCAGTAACTTAACCTCACTTTTTCGGCAGGTCTATTCCGGTTACGCATTTTAAAGTATTAGAAAAGATGCTAATTATTTTCTACTTTTAATCCGTTTGTGCATACTATTTCAAATTAAATGTAGAAAAATGTATAATTACAGGCTTATAAGCCTGAATATATGTTTGTATCGTCAGCTCCACACAGCTTGGACATATATTGTAACTTATAAAAAAGTATAAAGGCCGCAAAATAAAGCAATTTCGTATAAGACTGTAAATAATTTTTGAAATAGATTAAAACACATAAATATCGATAATATAAGCGACATCGTAATACGCTCTATTCTAGTGTATCAGTAGTCCATTTGGCTCGATATTATGACAATGCAGCAAAAGATATTTAATATAAAAAAATCGCCTTTCATACGATTTTTGTGTACGTCTTTTTCCATTGATCACCACGATATCTTTTATATTTTATATTTTGAGGACACAAATTATACAAACCCAGCAATTTTAAATATTAATATCGTTCTGAAAACACCAAGTTCTTTAAAAACCGCGATAAAACGAAATACTAAAATGGAGTATTTTAGATACTATTTCCCAACGAATAGTAGTATAAAAATTAAGATCGGCAGCACTGGAAATAAGCATGCCGATCTTGTCAAAATTACAACAAACACGTCGCTACTGACAACACCTTGTTATTATTCCACCATGCATACACATGTACTTCAGAACTTAAGGAAAAAATACAAATGAGATTCCTTACGGGCTAATATGCAATTTTCATTAGAATTTAAGAATAATTAAATAAATAGAACGATATAATTTAATTTGTTTTAATATGAATAAATGAAAGACGGAAAATAGTTTTTGTTTTTTTAAGTTTTAACCATCATCATATGTGGTTTACAGAAAAAATATTTTATTGATACAAGCTTCATTTAACTGGTGTGGGGTCCACTGATATATGTATTGGAAATAGTACCCTAAAAGTAGTAAAAATAATCCTAGTATTTCCCCCCTTTTTCTACTACTCCAAAATGCATGGCCGCAATCGGCATGCAGAAAAAGTGATGTTATGTTAGTGACATCACCTTATATTTATTTCACCATGGTATGTAGCTTATTAATAATAAGGAGCAAGTTTCAATAGGCTAAGAATTCCCGTTGATTTTTCGTTATTCTTTTTGCTGACAGTATTATTTTTTTCTTCTTCTGCATGACACCAGGTTTGTTCGTCGAAAATCCAGCAAGAATTATCCAACACTCAAAATATCAGAGAGTAAGAAAAAATTCTCTCAAATTCTCTCTCATGTTGAGAAACTTGCAAATTTCTGCACGAACGCAAATTTGCAGGAATTTGCCAGTTTCGCTGCCAGCTGGCGTCCACGGTTGCATTTCAAACATAAAAAATTTTTATAGAATTTTTAAAATTTTTTCGGATGGCCAAAAACAGGATATACATGTATATTTCTTCTTGTTCTGACTTTCGTTAACATACATTTCAATTTCTTCATCGTTCTAGCTGTCGGGTTTCTTAAATCGAATCTGGTTGCAATTGCATTCCGATTGCGAATACCATTTTTTTCAGCCGATTTAAGTTCAAATCATTGGAATTAACTAAATTAATTATATCAACAATTATTTACTTCCTTTTTTCATAAAAAAATCGCTCGTGTTTATAAATTTTTAAATTTAACGAACTAATTTATTCAAATTATTGTAGACAAAAATGCAACCATGCGCCACAACCACATGTTTTTCGTGTTTGCAAATTCTTGCTGGCAAAATTTTTTCCAGCAAGAATTTGCAACTTCTCTCCAAGAGAACTGTCACTTTGCTCTCACAATTTTTGAGTGTTGGATAATTTTTTGGTCTGCACGAACGCGATTTGGGCAAAAATCGTGATAATTCGTACAAATTCGTACAAATTTTTTGCTCGACGAACAAACCTA